CGAGGCCAGCCTGGGCTACCAAGTGAGCTCCAGGAAAGGCGCAAAGCTACGCAGAGAAACCCTGTCTCGAAAAACCAAAAAAAAAAAAAAAAACTGTACCTACCCAAAGCATGGTGGCTTAAGTTACTTTTCTATTTCTGGAATAAACTAAAATGACCAAGGCAACTAATAGAAGAAACTGAGGACTTACATTTTGAACTCCAAGCATGAAGCAGAGGGAATGAACCAGAAATGGTGTGAATCTTTACACTTTCAAAGCTGCCCCTAGTGCCAAACCTCCTCCAACACGGCCATACCTAAGCTTCCCAAACAGTGTTACCAACTGGGGACCAAGTACTCCCACGTTCAAGGCGATGAAGGACATCTTATTCAAACCATCACACGGCTCAAATCTATAATTCAATTCAGGATTCTGAGGCAGGAGGACTGCTCTGAATTCAAGACCAGTTAGGCTACATAGCAAGATTCTGTCTCAAAAAAGAGCAAGAAAGAACATACTGAAGATAGCAGGCCCCACACAAGACTGCACTGTTCTCAGAGGGCATGTGCGTGCTCAAGGAGAAAGGTCCTGACCAGGTGACCCGGTCACTACTACAGACCATGATCTCAAAGAGTCCAGTCCAGTCCACAGCAACCTGAGAACAGAACAGAGGATGGACTGGGAGTCGAGAGGTCCAAGTGACAGTCCATTCCAGTGGCTTTCCCTCTTGGGATCTTTTTCTGAACATGAACAGCTGGGATGTATGAGGTCAATCAGAGACACTCTGGTCTGAGGGTGTGATTACCTCTGTCTCTGCAGCCCCTCCCAGTGATGAAATGGTTCCAGTCATGGGCAAAGATGTGGGTCTGGATGCAGTGGACTAGAGCTTAAGTCCTGGCTCTAACACCAACACTGGGCATTCAGAGCCATTGGTTTTCTCTCCTGTAAGCTGCTGCAATGCTAAGCCTGTTCAAGACTCAAGAGACAACTAACCCATTCCTCCATAAATTCACCTCTCCCTGCTGGCTCCCCCAGGCTCCCCCTGCTCACCCTACTGGCTTTCTCAGACTCCCTCTGCTCACCCTGCCTGCTCCCCCAGGTCCCCCCTGCTCACCCTGCTGGCTCCCTGAGGTTCTCTTGGTAAACTCTGCTCACCCAGCTGGTTCCTGAGTCTTCCCTTTAGGAAGCTCTGGTCTCTGTGTTCCTGGCACTTTAGAATTCCCACCAGCCATGAAGAACTGGTGTCCTATTTACACAGGAGCTGAAGTCTCAAGAAGGTAAGTGACCCTGAAGGTCACCGACCACAAGGAAGCGAGCAAGAGTTCAAATGCAAGCCTCTGCATCTGGCCTGGCCAACTTCATTCTGTCTTGCTCCTTTCTGAAAACTCTGTTGTCCCCATGAGAGTGACTGTCCCTCCTGTTCTTCCAAATCATCATCTTTACCCACAGGCACGTTCTGGAGGACATGACAGTCTCCTGAGAGGATTGTAACACACTTCATAACTGTTCCATCCTGTCACCATATCAAAATCCAGGGAGTTTCATTTCTTCCCATTTGTCTCAGAGAGGCACCTGCACCATCTGGATTGACCAACAGCCTTCCAACCACCTGACACTTTCTAGTCTTCATCCTCTAGCCCGGAGTCCCTGGAACCTGTGTTAGTAGTGGTGGCCACATGCTCATCTTCCTCTGCTCCCTTGACCTGGCATTTTTAGACAGTTGCAGCCACCTGGGATAAAGGCGGCAGTTGCTGCTTAGGTCAGCTTCACTCTGCTGTCTGTCCAGGTTGGTGTGAAACTTGTGACCCTCTTGTCCTGCCCGCTCCCACATCAGGTTTTAAGGCTGTTCTTTTTCAAATGCGCACCTCAGCATAACCACACAACTGAAGAGTCACACACTCAGTGTTTAGGGACTTTCTTTAAAATGCCTTCTCCTTCCCATGCTAACGACTCGAAAGTGAAGAGCCACCAGGACTGTGACTAACAGGAAGCAACAGGTCCCTGAAAACACAAACTTCCACCCTGCCCTGTGCTCATTTCTGCAGGCAGCATGCAGCTTGCTGAGGCTTCCTGTTCTTTCCTCTTTGGCTCAGCTCCTCTTCTAACCTCAGCGTCTCTCCTAATCCTCAGATCCACGTTTCTGGGTGTTACGGCACATCCACACACATGCTCTCCTGGGACACAGAACTCTAGATTTAGCGACTTCCCATGTTTACTGGTTACATAAGACTTTCTCAGCCAGGCTAGACACCTCCCAGTCTCCCTCAGCACTCAGCCCTTGCTCATCCACACTTGGCGACACCCTCCTGTCATCCCACCCCTTCCTCCTCCCCAGGGCTTCCTCTCCTCCCTCCAGGACAGTTCTAGTTACCCTCGGAGACTCCTGAAGGTCCTGGCTGCCAGCTACCCTGCCTCCGGCCTCTCCCAGCCGAGACTCCCGAGTTCTCTCTTTCTAAAGGGCAGCTCCTGTGCTGTCCACCCCTCCTAACAGTACTGCTCTGTCCCTGGAATAAAGGCTGACATTTGAGAGCCAACACTCTATGACAAGTTCCCTTTGTTCCAGCCAAACTGGAGTGCTGGCCAAGCTCCAGGCAACACTCCCCTTCCCCCCTCCGCCCCACCGTTAAGTGTGCCACACCCCTGCCTGGAACCTCTGCTCAGCTCCTTCCCCAGTCTTGCCTACTGAGTTGAATCCTCAATTTCAGGGCTTAGCTCAGACCTTCTCTTTGTAAAACTATCTCTGATTTCTTACAGGGACATAATTTGTCTCCCTTTTGAATGTCAAACTGCTTTTCTTTTTATCTCTTTCATATGAATTTAACACATTCTGCCCCTTTCAACTGTTTTCTGTATTTATCACACATGTCCACGTCTATAAACAGCTGTCAAAGCATCGCGTGGAAGGAAATACAGGGAAAGTCAACCAGAGGGAAAGTCAACTGTTCCAACCCCAAAGCAGCAGCAGTGGGAGGCACGTGGTCCCAGCCTGGCTGTGTCAGGAGCCTAAGTTAGAGGCTGGGGAGCAGCTGCCGCTGTGGCTCTGCCACGCTGCCTGTTTACACACTCGGTCATGCACACTTCTGCCGGGAAAAGCTGCCTGGACTTTGAGGTAAAGATAGGGACTGAACACTGGCATTATTTTCTCTTTCTGAACTCTGACTTAATCAACAGCAGTAAGGCCATGTGAGAATGGGAGAGGCCAGGAGCAGAGGGCTGGAGGGAACAGGCCCCTCCCCTTCAGGGTCAGTCTTCTAAGGCAAGTGCGCCCCCTGCCCCCCCCCTGCACAGGCCCCCCTGCCTGCTCATGCTAAGCCTCAGTTCACAGCTCACGCTGAGCCCTCCTGGCTCCTTGCTCTGTGCTATCAAGCCTGGGAAGCGGTCGCTGCACTTGTGAGTGATCACGGCCTCTGGACTTGGTGTAGCCTCCGGCTCTGTGCATCTGAAGGAGGAAACTCAGCAGCAAGAAAGCGACAGACTTAATCACAAGCAGCATGTGGGAGTGATGCCAGCAACAGGGTAGGTAGCCTGACCTTCAGTGATTGTAAAACGCTATAAGAATCTTGTTTGATAAGCAGGGTGCCACCACCCCTGGGGGAGCATTCCGAATACTAGGGGGCGTCTGGAGTTAAACACTGATGGGAAGCACAGCAACAGCCCAGTCACACTGGTCCTGTGTTTGCGACAGTTTGAATCACAAAGGATCCCTACTCGCCTAGAATGGGCCTCGGTCTTGGAGAGCAGGAAAGCTGAGCCTGTTGCAGCAGCACAGGAGAATTTCCACCAGAGACGTTGTTCACGCCCACGGAACTGGAAAAACCCAGCCGCAGGAGAGAGTGTTAGCGGATCCTTGAGGCAGAAAACGCATGTCCCCCCCAAAGCGGAAGGCCCACACGGCACTTATGACAGCTTTAGGGATATCCCTCTGTGGTTCAAGTGTCTCAAACACAGGGCCAGTGTGACCGAGGCATTCTGTCTGAACGCTCTCTGTGCGTTTCTGTCAGTCTTTGTTCATGTCCCATGTTTGGCCTCGGGCTTGCACGGCATGTGCTGACTGACCCAGCCCCCACTGCTAATTTTATTTTTTTTTCTTGAAGAACTGTCTTTTAATTTATATATATGTATCTTTATGAGTATATGCCATGTGTATGCAGGTGCTCAAAAGGGCCAGAAGAGGGTACTGGACCCCTGGAACTGGATAAGGTGGTTGTGAGCAGGCTGATGTGGGTTCCAGGAAGCACAGTCTTAACCAGGAGCCTCTCCAGCCCCACTGTCTGGCGGGGTCCCCGGGACTGTGACAGTGCACGGGGCAGGCGCAGGCTGGCGGGGTTGGGCTGGTGGGTGGGGTGGCCTCCTCGCTTCCTTCTGCTGGTAGAAAAACACAACTGTGTACACAGCATGCCTGCAGCAACACAACTCCCAACAGAAGAGCCCTGGGGACACGCACAGCCACAGCTGGAAATGAAAACTGAGGGGGGGCGGGTCGGCAGCGGTGAAGAAAGAAGAGCCCAGCACTTAGGGACCAAGACAAACTGGACCCATGATCTGCAGACAGGTACAAAAAGCAAATTCTCAAGGCCACATGTGACTCCTTCTGGCTAGCTCACAGCCACCCCTGCATGAAGACAGCGCATGTCTGAGGCGGCCACGCCTCCACAACTCTGAGAACGGAGTCGGCCTCAGCACGACCTCTCTGTATTCTTGTGATGCTTGCTTCCTTTTCCTTCTTGGTGAGTATATACCAGTATCATTAACAAGGCAATTCAAAAGGACCTCCTGTTCCACCCCACACTACAGGCTAAGGTAGGCCAAGTTCTGTCTCATTAACATAAACATAACCTTCGGAAAACAGATCAATTAGTTCATGAAAGCTGCATCCGAAAATGACATTAATGGAAAGGGGAAAGGACTGGTTTGAACGAAGCACCGTAGGCTGCCGATTGCTTCCCTTCTGGGGACACCACAGTCAGGGCTTCTGAGGGACCAGCAAGTCCGTTTCGTAGTTGATGCCTCGCCCCTGTCTGAAAGCTCCAGTGAGCCACACCAAAGGGCGAGCCTGCAGGCAGAGTGCCCGCCACACACTATGGTTCAATTAAACAGGCTGCCCACAGCACTCACTCTCACCAGCCAAACAGGGCAGAGAGCAAGGAGCAGAGGGGCAGGCGTGAGATTATAAGTCTTCTTTTGAAGCTTCCAGGAACTGGGAGAACTCCTGACCCTGGGACAGAAAATCCCTATCAGGGACACCAGGCAGCCAGGAGACAGGCCCACTCGGAAAGTTCCTTCCCGCTCACGTGAAAGGCTGAGCTAGCTGTGTGCAGTCACCCCACCTGAAGCTGCTCAGAGAATCACCCTCTTCCTTCACGGGGCACCAGCTTCAAATGCAACCTGAGAGTACAGGCCTGTTTGGCCAACGTTAATTTCCATGATTTTTTTTCAGAAAGGGGCTCACACTATAGCCCCACCCAGACTTGAACTCTGGAGCTCATAGTAATCCCCTGCCTCAGTCTCCAGAGCACTGGGATCACAGGCGTGAATGGCTATGCATGGCTCATGTCATTTCAGACTCTAGAGAAGGCACCAGAGCTGTGCCTGCTCTAAATTAAGGATGTACCCACAGGACGGGCAAACTCATACAGCCAAGGCACCAGAACGTCCCAAACTGTGGGATTCGACACCAAAATGAGGATCTTAGGGTGAGAGAAAAGACATCCAAAGAAAAGCACATTCGATAAAGAAGTTGTCAACAGAGTGTGGTGGCACAGGCCTGTAAGCCTAGCTAGCACCTGAGAGGTTGAGACAGGGGAATCATGGAGAGTTCAAGGCCAACTTGGGCTATAATGATAAGACCCTGTCTCAAACTCTTAGAAAACAAAAACAAACATGTTCAAAACAAGTGAATAAGAAAAGAAAGTCATTTCAATTTAGCCAGGCAGGGCGACGCACATACGTAATGCCAGCACTGGGAGGCTGAGGCAGGAGAATTGCCATGAGTTAGAAGCCAGTCTGAGCTACACCTTGTCTCAAAAAAGACAAAAAGGAACTTAAGCCAATAACACCCAGAGACCTCAGACCTCGGTAATGGACGGAGACGACCCACTTTTGAAACGAGCAGCCGGTGTTGGCGGACACTTCACGGAGGACTGGCTCACACAGCAGCCCAGTCGGGAAGGCGGATGCCCTACCACCTCTCCTAGGATGACACCGACGCGGGTGTGTGTGTGTGTGTGTGTGTGTGTGTGTGTGTGTGTGCGTGCGTGCGTGCGTGCGTGTGAGACAGCACACCGCAGGGGACCCAGAACGGCGAGTCACTGCACAGTGGCTGAGTGGCTTCTCTGAGAAGAGTGCTGCACCCGGGACCCAGAACCCCGAACCCCCTACAGTGACATGCTTATCCCAGGGAACGAGAACCTCTGCCTGCATGAAAAATGGAAACAGAGTAAGTAGTTGTACCTGCCACTGGGGAAAACTGAAAATGACTCCCTGTCCCTGGGTGGGAAAGGATAAACTGGCACACCTCTCTCTATAAAGGAACGTCACCCAGCAGTGAAGAGGAACACATGACCGAAGACCAGCACAGATGGTTCCCAGATGCACCGCACAAGTCAGAGGTGCACGCTGAATGACTCCATTCACGGAACGTTCTGAAAGGGCAGATCACTGGGACAGACATCCGAGGAGAGGGACAGAGGAAAGCCCTCTGTAGCTCTCAGATTGCCCCTGTTTTGGTCCTGGCTGGCGGTCACTCACAGACTGCGCACAAACATAGATGCATCTCATTGCATCTAAAGTGCAACCTTTTAGAGGGGTTCCCAGTGGAAACTACAGGACACAAACAGCTGCTATGAGGAGGAAGACAGTTCCTACACGCCCAGGGGAGGCCTCCGAACAGGATGAGAGGCAGTGTGCTGGGGTACTTGACCAAGGTGGGAGTGACAGAACCAACTGGAGACAGTGGGCATGCGCGGTGAAGGACCTCATAGCTCTACATGTGGGGAGCAGGGACAGGCAGGTTCCCTCCAGACACCGCCTTTCAGTCAGCCCAATGCCCGTGCATCTCCCTCTCTGCAGGGCTGGAACTTATATCCGGAATGGATTTTGCTGAAGCAATACAAGCGAGCCACATTGACAAAGCACCGTAGTTACAGGTGATAGCCCGTCATGACCCTGACAAGGAGCACACTGCCCTGAGGTCAGGAACCACAGAGTCCACCCCGCGACCATGAGGCCCCAGACTTAACCTTAGTGTCACGACTCCATCTTCAGCACCTGCCCTCCCGCCACCCTTTCCTGTGCCCTGGAGGGAAGCAGGGAGGGAGTACCTTTAGTCCTTCCAGCGGGGGCCCCCAGCTTCTTGGTCTCTGCTGTGAGCAGCAGCTCATACGGGTGCTCGTCCTCCTCCCGGGGGACACCGCTCTGAATCCGGGGTCTCAAAGCCAGGCCCTAGGAGACAGAAACACCCAGACTCCATTGGGCACAGAGACGGGAGGTACGTAGCAAAGCTCCCATTCCTGCTACCTTGCAGGGCAGGCCAAGGCAGGGAAAGAGTCGGGCACCCTGTGGACCCAGGTGCTTTTCTAGTCCTCCATGCGTTCTGGCTCATTCCCCAAGGTTACCATGCCAGAAGCTCGATGTCCAGTGCAGCCGGGATGGGAGACAACATGCCAGAGATGGGGCATGGTGGGTTGGTGGTCCTCTAGACTCCTCTCCTAACAAACCCACTCCTGAGTGGCACCACAGCAAAGGGGTGTTATCACGTGAGCCTGACACCCCATGCTCGGCCCCGCTGTGACGCAGCTGAGGCTGCCCTAACCAGAAGCTAATGAACAGATGGAGCAGCTTCACGGGACTTTTGGCATCCCACCTGTGAGTCAGATAGACCCCTTTTCTTGATAAACCCAGACTCAGCAACAGAAAAACCGAAAACAATTCCTGTATATGAAATCTCCACAGTGTGACTAAACCATTTTATCCTCCAAAAAATGGTAAAATCCAAGCCTTTCTTCTCTGCCCTCTCCCCACAGTGTTTCTATGAGAACCTTTTCTAGCAGCTGTCATCTGAGCTGCACTGCTACTGCCAACCTTCTCCATGTTTCTTCTCTGACACGCACATACTCTACCCACAGGCTAGCATCCACCTCAAAAGAAAACAAAATACTCTCGCCACTTAAATGGCCTGTCCTTGTCCTCCTCCTCCCTCTCCTCTGCTGCTGCAGCCCTGGCCAGCCTGGAACTTGCTGTGTAGACCGGGCTGATCCTCAACAGGCAGATCCTTCTGTCTCTGCCTCCCCAGGGCTAGGATTAAAGGCATGAACCACCAGAGCCAGCTTGTAACTATCCTCTTCACAGATCCCAAGAGCTGTGGGAACAGATCCCCTGCAAGCTAGCTTTCTGCTGAATTGTAACGTGACTTCAGATGCCTCCAACAGTTTGGAGAGTCAGTAACTAGCAATGTGAGTTTCCGTGGGAGAACAGCAGCTTCGTCCACTGAGAAGGTCTTGAGTCAAGCAGGTAAGCACCTCCCATACAGGAAAGGTGAGCATCAGGGGCTCCTCAGCTAGTCCTGGCATTAGAGCCAAGATGGTAAAACCACAGTGCTGGAGACGCAGGGAAGGGTTGTGGAGACTCCTGCCCTGATAATTCTACTCATCTGCCCTGATGCAGATGTGTTTTAAAGGCAAGTTAAGAATAATCACATACCAGCTACCGCAATCAAGCCAGAGCACAAAACTTCCAGAGCTGTTTGAAGTGGTAAGGACAGCCTGGGAGTGAAGTGGGGGTAGCTGGGATTCCCACTCATGCCTAACAGAACAGTAGATCCTACAAGGGAAGCTCCTTTACACATACAGACACCTCCTACCACTCACTGGAAAAGCACCAGGTTAGTGATTCACCAGAGTCCGCCTCTGTGGGGACAGCTCACTGTAGGCAGCAGGGCTTATAAGTCCTCCAGAAGAGAGGACAGCACTCCCTTATTAACAAGGCTGCTTCTCTGACGGCAGAACAATGGTCTCACTCTAAAACTGCTGAGCACAGCAGGTACCCCACCTGGAACTAAAGGTGCCTTTACTCTGGGAGCCCTGGGCATCATTTACTGGTCTGTTTTCACAGGAACACAATTAAGGAGACAAAGAGGGACCATTAAGTAGTTCACACCGTGTCAACTTAACACCACAGGCTTCACTGACAGGAATTTGTGCTCTGCAGGTTTCCATCCCTATGACCCCTCACGCAGAGCCCTGGAAATCTGATTCCCAGTATTACTGCCTCAGCAAGAGTTCTCACCCAGGCCCAGGCATGCTTCCCTGAAAAGGAGCTGACAGCCAGGATGCCAAGCCTACAAACAGGGCAGGATAGAAGACTTCAGTGGCAAGTGAGTCCACCAGGCAGGGCAGATGTGAGCAGAAAGCATCCACCACCACAGCTGGGACACCAGTCACAGCCAGGGGACCTGATTCTGGCCATTTATCTGCAAACTCAGACAGGGCCAGGGACCTGTCCACGGTTAATGCAAAGGCCGCAGCAGAGCTACTGTCATTAAATGCAGTTCCTCGGGTTCTATTCCAGTTTGGCCCCACTTTCCTCCAGCCAATGGGCTGCCTTCCCTTCTTCAACTGCTAATGAGAGCCCCTGCTTGGGCCCAGACAATAAACGGGGCTGTTCCTTTCCTCTTGTTCTGGCCCTGACCAAACTAAGGGGTTAAACATTCACAGTCAACAAGAAACTTTTCTTCCAGACATCCTTGCTCCCACAGAAGTGGCCCTGTGTTACAGTGACTATGGCAAGAACTGGTTGTCAAAAGAAAGGATTCTGTTTTCTACTAAATTATTTCTTCATCTTCTTTCCCTTTTCCTCCAGGGCTGGCCATGACTCAAAGCTAAAGAATCTCTGTGGAGAGCAGCATCGCTTGGGCACAGAAGGGTTGCAAGCAGCCAGCCATCACCCAGCTGTGGCTTGGAGAATCCATGGGGTGTGGGTAGCTCAGAAGCCTCATCACAGAGGAGACCAGGGCCAGCCCATGGCAGCTGGTAGCCCATCAGGAGGAGTAAAAACTTTTCCTGTGTGGGTGTGTGTGGGTGTGTGCACAAGCACGTGTGTGATGTCTCATGTCTGGCATCATAATGAGATCATTGCTTGAATAAGCTCTTCTATGGTCAAATCCTGGGTCACATGATTGACATGTACACAGCCCTCAGATTTGGCTTGGTCACAAAGCCTTCCTTAGCACCAGAGACAAGTACTATAAACAAAACACATCGGCAGCAGGTTTATTGACATCACTGTCTCAATGTGAGGTTTAGTTTTAAAGCTTTGAGAGAGCTGGAAACTATGATGGTGGGGCTGGACTTCTTGCTGCTCCTGCAAAAGACCAGAGTAGAGGTTCCAGGACCTACACTGGGCAGCTCACAATCCTCTGAAACTCCAGTTCCAGGGGATCTGATGCCCTCTTCAGCCTCTCAGGATCCCAAGCACAGTTCTGAGTCACAGACAGACAGATATGCCCGAAAAAACTACCCATGTACATAAAATAAAATAATAAAGATCCTGTCTGGATCATCAAGAGAACGATGATCCAGGCCATGTCTCCTCTATATTTATGCACCCATAATAACAGCAAATAGGCAAGTTTAGGGCTCTGGTTGTCACGGTCTCCCCAAAACCAACTGTGTTGGTTCAACTGGTTTAGAATTCCAGGCTGTTAGGAAACATTTCCAAAGGATGAACCTCACACACTGACATCCCACCAAGCAGGATGGCCCAGCAGACAAAGGTATTGTCTCTACACCTGACAACCTGAACTACATGACGACGGAAGGAAAGAAAGAACTCTGTCCTCTGAAAACACACACACACACACACACACACACACACACACACACACACACACACACACACACACAGAGTAACATAATAGCCTTTTTTGTTTTGTTTTGTTTTTCAAGATAGGGTTTCTCTGTCCAATAGCCTGGCCATAAAAACATTTTTTAAAAAGGTAGACTGGAGGCCAGGTGGTGGTGGCGCACACCTTTAATCCCAGCACTCGGGAGGCAGAGACAGGCAGATCTCTGAGTTCAAGGCCAGCCTAGTCTACAGAGTGATTTCCAAGACAGCCAGGATTGTTACACAGAGAAACCCTGTCTTGAAAGACAAAAAGAAAAGAAAAAAAAGGAAAACTGTAGCTGAACACAGTGGCACAGGCCTTTAATCCCAGCACCCGGGAGACAGAGGCAAGTGGCTCTCTGAGTTCGAAGCCAGCGTGGTCTACATAGTGAGTTCCAAGACATACAGAGCTACTTAGTGAGACTGTGTCTTGAAAAAAAAAAAAAAAAGGAGACTATTTCAAATAACCACCTCTTTCCTTCCCACCCACCTCCTTTATCTTTTATTTTATAGACTTGATTATTTACTAAACTTGAAAATAAAATACCATGCAGCAAAAGTAACCAGACCAAAGTCTATCTTTTCCACTTGTCACCTGTAACCTGATTCATGTTGGATACAGTCTTTACAGGAAGCAGCGAGAGGGTTAAAACAGAAAGCAGCCCCCTGGGGCCCAACCACCAAAACCTGATAACACTGTACTGTTCATACAATGGCAAGGACTCGGAACCTCGTATCAGGACACTCATGTATATGCCCCACACTCACACACAACTGCAACAATCCTTTCCTCCCCAAAGAGTACAGGCTGGGGAGATGGCTTAGTGACAGAGTGCTTGCTTGGCACACAAGGCTCTGGGTTCAATGCCCAAGGCTGGAGAGACGGCTCAGCAGTTAAGAGCACCGGCTGCTCTTTCAGAGGCCCCGGACCCAGACCAGCACCGACACAGCGGCTCACAACCACCGCTAACTCCAGTTCCAGGGGATCTGACACCCTCATCCTACCTCCACGGGCACCAGGCAGGCATGTCGTGCATATACATACATGCACAAACAAAAAAAAAATCTTAAGAGCCTCCTTTGGAGCTCACACATCTGCCATTTAACAAATGCTATGTCAGTGATGGGGTGACCCCAACTCTCTACCTCAGAGGCTGTCAAGGGCAAATACTTCTTATCTACGCGCTCTTCCTCCTCTTCATCAGGTGGCGGCTTTGCTGGAGGCGGTGGGCGTTCCCTCTGCAGAAGAAAAACAAATATTCTACCATCTCTCCTTTTCAATATTTAAGTGTTTGGCTTCCCCTTATTTTAGTTCTTGGAAATAAAAAGAACTATGTAAAGAATTCCCCCAGGAGCCTAAAGTTAGGTCCAGTCTCTGAGCAGATGAAGGACCCCACACCCAGACACAATTCAATCCGCTGTGCTATCTGATGTCTGCAGCACAGATCATAAACACCTCCTTCCGGGCCACAAGGAGAACAGCGGGGAGAGCTCACAACTGCCTCGCTGGCACAAATGCCCATCCACACGACAGACACAAAACCTGACAGCAAAGGCAGAAGATCAACTTTCAGTCTACACTGAAAAGAAGAAACTTGAGATTAAAAGACCCAGCTCCGGAGCTCTTCTAAAGCCAAGACTCTCCGGGAGGCAACGGGAAAAGCAACCAAAGACGAAATATTTGTCTTTGCTCAGACTCCAACGCTGTGCTGCTGGTCATCCCTACTCATGAGGAAAAGTTCCACACCAATCTCTTAGCACCTGTAGTTTCAGCGAGTCAGGGGACTGAGGCAGGAGGATCACCCAAGCCCAAGAGTTTGGGGTTATCCTCAACTCAAAACAAAACATCTCTTGGTTTGGGGGTTATTTTGTTTTTGTTTTTTTGAGATAGGGTCTCACCATGTAGCCCTGGCTGTCACAGGACATGCTATGCAGACCAGACTGGCAGCACAGAAATCCTCCTGTCTCTGCCTCTGGGTGCTGGGATTAGCAGCATGTGCCACCACACCCAGCCCCACATCTCCTGTTTTTAGTCACCCCCTTCAGTGATAAATACAGGACATGGGTCCCTCCTGTTCATCTGGACAGGAGCATGAGCACCAGGCTCCCTAGGGCGGGGCTGGCAAGCTTGCTCTGAAAGGACCTAAAGCAACTCTACCAGGCTTCACAGTCAGTTCCACCACAGACGCCAGGCAGATGGTGCGTGTGACTAGATCCAAAACAACCTCAGTCAAACACACGGCTCCTGCCAGTGGGCTGTGGTTTTCCAACCCTCTCCCATACTAAGGAACTCCCTGGAGAGGATGCTGGGCAGGTGAATGAAGGGTGGACAACTTCAGGAACATGTATGACCCTGGTGTGGCAAAGCTGGAGACGGGGACCATTGCACCTGTGCCTTTCCCACTGTTTTCTGCAGGGCTCAGCCCCAGGCTTGCCGGTCAGCTCTTTGTTGCTAAAGTAGGCGGAGCTTGGAATGCTGAACGGTAGAGATTTCCAGAGAAATTTGCAAAGACCCTGCTTTGGATTTTGGCACCCAAGACCTTTCTGTTCAAACATGCTTCTATACTGCACACCAGCCTCCATCACTCAGTCCTTCTGTGAGGCCAGAAAACGAAAACAAGAGCAGCCACACAACACAAGCGTGCACGCCAAGATGCTCTGGCTTTTTATCACAACCAGCAGAGGCTGGCCTTCAAAGGTTACTCAGCTCTTTCTGGCCTGTGTGGCTTCTAGCAAAGGCACTGGCGCCCCCTACTGGGAGACACCTGTAAGTCGCACTTAAAGCGAAGCCTTCACACACAGGTTAGACAGAACAGGGAAGGGAAACACCATGCTCAGCAAAGGCTCCCTTCCACCGCTCAGAGGGTGTGCTTGCAGCTCTTGCTCACACCTCCGCTGCTAGGCCGCCACACTAGAGGGCTCACTGGAATGCACACTCAAACACTGCTACTGCATCAGGGCAGGGCAAGGAGACCACCAACGAAGAACACTCCATGAAGTTCTAGGCCTTTCCCAGGCCAGTTAGAAAGGTCAAGGACAACCCTGTCCCCTGCCAGAACTGGGCCAGAGGGAAGGCCAACAGGAAAAAACCCACATATGCCCCCTATGTGTCTCAAGGTGGTCAGCCAGCCAGGTCAGACAACCACCAGGGTATGAAAACTCAGGACAACGTGTGGAGATGGAGATGGGAAGAAGTGGGGACAGGGCTGCAGACAAGGCATACTGACTCTGGGGAGAAGGGGGAGGAGGAGTCTGGAGGCCCGGGAACAAAGCAGTGCCAGGGCAGAGCACAGACCAAGAGGAAACAGCGCTGCCGCGTGGGACAGGGCTAATAAATAAGTGCACACACCGTCTGACTACGT